CAGATGGTGATTAACACAGAAACCCACAACTGGCCAACACACAGAGAATAAGAGACTGCAGAGTGCTTATCTCTGAATAGGACACCTATATCAACCTTCTGCCTCCCAAATCTCAGGCATCATTGTGGAAGACGGGACAGAAAGATTATAAGAGCCAGAGATAGTGGATGACCACAAAGAAATACAGTTTTCCAGACAGCTGGGTAGTTAGTCATATGAACTCACAGCAATGGTGACAGCATACACAAGTCTCATGCAAGCTCAAGTGAGATAAAATCCCAGCATAGACTTGGGGAAGTGGCTAAGAAACCCCAACCCTACCAGAGGAACTACTGGCAACCTATGGCTGGTGGGGGGGGAGAGTCTCTTTTAAGGATATAACTCTTGGTAGGTTACCCAGGCTCCAGTGGATAGACCCACACTGAAGGACATTAGGGGACACAAATTAGGCTCTATAGACCTTATTATATATAATAGAGTACATTAAATTGGGTGAACGCTAGTAAGGGGGTGGAGATGGGGAAGGGATCTAAATATGATCAAAATCAATTGTACGAACTTCACAAAAATTCATTAAAAATAATAGTAAATTTTTAAAAGATCCTTCTGGAACCAGATCACTGGGGCTCACACCCTGGTTCTGACAATTACAAGCAGCATGCGGCCTTAAACAACTTACTTAACTCTCCACGCCTCAGTTTCCCCATCTCTCCGTGACGATGGCAGCATCTACCGCACAGAACTGTCCCGAAGACCGAGCTCTGTGTTCAATGGGGAGAAGGCACCTGAGACGTAGCTAGAACTGAGGAGCTGTTCACAGAGACGAGTTTTGCTTGTCTCTGTTATTCAGCATCTCTGACTCAATTACCCTAGTGCCCATGCTTCAATATTTACCTAGTTTTCCTTTGAAGATTTCAAAACAGAGAAATTATTAAGATAACTAAAAGCCATGTTAAAATCTCTGTTCCATGTTCTTCTGAGTTTCTCCTCTTATAGTCAGATCAAAAATCACATTTCTAATATGGCTACAGAAATGTTAGCAAATCACTGGGAGAATGGGGCCAAAAAATGACAACTGGCGTGTGTATGGGCTGAGACCTGCTCCACCTCCCACTCCATCCTGGGTGCTGAACTGTAAGGTGCTGTTTCTGGTGACCTTGAGCAGGTCCCTTAACCCATCCTCAACTGGAAAAGTTCTATGCCACTACACTTCCTGCTCTGACCCTTAGAGGTGGGATAAATTAAGACCAAACATGAAAACAAAACAAAACAAAAAAAACCCAAAACCTTGCAATTTCTAAGGCACTAGATAAAAGTTAGGTCATTATCTTAAATCTATTTATGGTATTTCACATCTTACAATACCCTCTTTCATTTCTGAAGGTTTTCAAATAAACCCCAAACTATTCCTGCCCACAAGCAGGGCCACAGCAAGAGCCTTTTATGAGAGCTAACGGGCAGTCCATTTTCTTAAGAACCTGAAGAGCAGGATTTTTTTTTTTTTTTTTTGACAACTCTCAAAAATAGCTCATTCCATTCAGTAAAACCACCTTTGAAAACCAGAAAAAAGAATTCCCCATTGCTCTGCACCTAAGCACCACAGGTCACTCTGCAGCAAAGGCTTTGCATAAAGAGAAAGCAGAAGGGCCTGGGGTTCTGGTTGAGTCTGATGAAGACCTACTATTCTGATGTCTGCGACTTGCTTTGTCTCTCCTGTTCCCCCACCTTCCCTCCTGCCTCCACGCATTACAAAAGGGCTTAGAAGTTAGATTTCTGGCCCAGTGATTCTTTCAGTCACTGCTGGGGTCAGACCAGATTTAGCTCAAGGATCAGCAGGTGACAGGGTCCACAGAGCGCTTAGCCCAGTTTAGCGCTCTCAGCCCCACAGTCACAAGTACTCAGCCCTGCTCAAAGGTTCTACCTCTGAGGAAAGATGCTGCTTCTTCTCCAACCACTCTTTCTAACTCAGAATTCAGACTCACCATGTGAAGGACAAAAGGGGCCTGGTAAAGGGCAGAGAGCATGAGGAGCCAAAAGGAAGAAAAGGGACCACTCAAATGCTCTCCTTCAGGTCTGCTAGACATGTGACACCTGTAGGCTTCTCTGAGGAGTTGGGGTACTAGTTTCTAATTAGAAAGTAAAGATGAGGCGGCTGTTTGCCATAGTGAGAACAGACACCCCCACACACACACACACACAAAGAGTCTGCAGGAAGCCAGGAGCCATCTAGTTCAGTTTGGCCTCTCCTACCTCTTCTGTCCCTGACCCATCCAGCTACACAGTGAGACACGCCAGGACTGTTTGGTTGGTCCCTCTCATTCCTGCCCAGGTCTCATGTGTAGATGAGATCAATGCAGCTTAGCACAAGGTGGGAGCCTAGGAAGAGACATCACCTTTCTCTGTGAGGTGAGAGATCGCTAGGAGCCAAGAAACAAAGCTGCAGCTGGCCTCACTCTCGGGCTATGGTCTGCCACTTCACAACACCAGTCCCAAATGCCATTCATCTGTACCAGGACCACAGTGGGTTTCTCAGCACACTACTGACTTTGGGAAACTCTGTCTTGAGAGAGGCTGTTTCCCAATGGGCTTTATCACTGCTACTGTCTTCAACTCCCTGCCCTCCTGTGTCCCCATCCCCTGTCTCCAGGCCTGGCATAGCGACTGCCCACCACACAGCAGTGCACAGGTCTTTCTTCAGTTGTGAGCTTATGTCTCTGGGCTTGGGCTCTGTGAGTATTCATTATGTGTCTGCCACTCCTTCTCCAGTATGAGGGGTGGGAAGTAAGCTTCCTGGTCACTATGTACCAGTGACTCCCTTGCTTTCAGAGTCTTACAGACATCTATGAAGGCCTTGAAACACCAAGTTATGCTACACAACGCATCAGACCAGACAGCAATTCCCCCCTCAGGATTAATCAGGCTGACAGCAACCTTGAACACAAAACCAACCAGTCCTCAGGCAGTATGAGTTGAGCCAGAGGTATGAAAGATGGTGCATGCCAACATGACAATGGTTTGGCAGTAGGATCTGACTCTAAATGTGCTGGGGCCATCTCTCTGGGACAGCAGCCAAAATGAGACAAAGCCAGTTGTTCTGGTAGTTACCAAAGTGTCCTCACAGCTCTTGTCTGCTTTGCCAGGTCGGCCATCACAGGTGACATGCACCAGCCTGTACTTCTTAGGATTGTGAAGTTTTGATGCCAGACATCCCAGGTAGGTCACTCACCCAGGGTCCATAGGATTGCCAACTGTGTGCCATGTTCCACATCAGGCACCAAGGATGCAAGAAGGAATAAGACACAGCCTGTGTCCTCAGGGAGCTCATGGTTTATGGAAGGAAACAGAGGGAAGAATAAGCCACTAAACAGTGAGAGATGCCATAATTGGGGCATTAATTCAGCCCTAGCCCCATGATATCTGACTTCCAAATACAGCTGGGTATGGTATTTTGTGCAAATTACATAGGTCCTCTAACCCCCAGTTTCTTGGAATAACAATATCATAAGGTTCGGTAAAGACTCAGTATATAGCCAGTGTACAGCACTACCTTTATTGATTATAAAACAAAAACCAATTCTCACTCTTTAACCACAAAATAATGCACCAATTTTACGAACAGGTGTGAATAGGGTTTAACTTTTTCTCATGTGTACATTCTCAAAACACTCAGCCTTCACACATCTGGAAATCCTACTGAGGTGTCAGTGTAAATGAGATTCACCTCTTTTTTAAAAAAAAAAAAAAATAAATATGTATTACAGGGCTAAAGAGATGGCTTATCAGTTAAGTGTACTGCTCTTGTAGGGGCCCAGAGTCCAGTTTCTAGTACACATGGTGGCTCATATCTAACTCTAGTTCCAGGGGATCCCCACACCTCTGGCCTCCGTGGGTAACTATACTCACACACCCATACATATATACATAATTAAAAATAATGAAATGTTTTTAAATTTATTATTGTTTTAGTTATATAAATGAATGTTTTGCCTGCATATATATGTGTACTGTTTGCATGAAATGCCCACATTGGATCCCCTGGAACTGGAGTTATGGATAGTTCTTGGGTGCCATGTGGGTGCTGGAAACTGAACTCCAGTCCTCTTCAAGGGCAGCCAGTGCTTTAAGCACTGAGCCATCTCTCCAGCCCCATAAAATGTTTTTTAAAAGGAAATTTGTGTTATATTTTTGAGTACTGAGTTCAGGAGGGTGATACACAGTCATACATTTCATAATGACATTTTTGATAAAAAAATCATGTACTTTGACCACACTCACTCCCTACCATCCTCTCCTATTCCGCCATCTCCCCAACTGATAACTCTATTCCCTTTCCTAAATAGCCCCCCTTCTATTTTCATGTATATATTTGTATACAAAATGTAGGTTCCACATATGAGAGAAAATCTGATATTAGTTTTGAAAGTATAGCTTAGTTTGCTTAATATGATCACCTCCAATTCTATCCATTTTCTTGCAAATGACATAATTTCATTCTTCTTTATAGCTAAATAAAACTTCATTGTGCATACACACACATACACATGCATGTACACACATTTTCTTTATCTACTCATCTGCTGATGGACACCTAGGATAATTCCAAACCTTGGTATTGGATGTACCACTTTGGACACTTACTAGTCACCTTGGCCATCATCCATAAGCCAAGTTCATGGTTAAGGTAGGCAGCCATCAATCTGCCTATCTTTTCTGTACCACTTTGGGAAGCTGTTAATGAGTTACAAAACCAGTCCAGCAAAACCTGAACCTGGCTGGGAGCCAGCAACTTCTGTGCCCCATCCAGACCCAGTGAGCATGCATGGACATCACTGACTCCCCACCCCACTGGTATTGCCTGCACACTGCCCCTATCAGAGGTAGGGGAAAGAGTCAGGCTCTGGTCCTAGCACCTGCATCTGGCATCATTCTTGCCAAGCTGAGGACCCGCGATCTTCTAGAATTATCAGTTGTCCTTGTTGCTTGCTGAATGTGCCCCTTACCTCAGGTGTCCCAGGCTATAGAAGCGGGACTCTCCATCGGTGGAACGGACCACCTGCAGTGTGAACATGGGCTGCAGCTGCCGGAGTTCAAGCAGGACGATGGCCAGGTAGTGGATGAAGAGCAGGGCATCCACAAGGGAGACTGCATATTGCACGATTCCCTGGTAATTTCGGTCCCGAGAATCCAAAATGCGGACCCCATAAAAAAGCCAATAGGAAACCACAAAAAGAAAGATGAGAACCAACACCAGGGCACGGAACACAAACACCCGTGGCACATCAGCTCTCTGTTTGCGGAAGAAAAGCGCCCAGGTTCCGATGAGCAGAATTAGCAGTTTGAACGACACAGAAATGAAGAGTCCCTCACAGATAGTGCCGCAGGGCTCCAGCTCCTCCCTCCACAGGATTGGGGGCAGCAGGATGAAGGCAACAGGTGTGAGGAAAACTAGAAGTCCAAGGAACGAGGCAATGGTAAGGCCCAGGTAGCGCTTGCAATCCAGCCCCACACTGTCCTCCATGTCCTTGCTGATCCTGGCAATGTCCTCCTGGGATATACTGTGCTCTGAGGTGCCTGTGATGGCAGTGGTGGTCTCTCCCCAGTTGTCATCCTGATGGGAAAGAAGACAATGAGGGTGATGAGGCCCAAGACGCAGTTTATTTGTAAAAGCCTCAAAAAGACACTTCAGTTACCCAGCTATATATACTGGGCTTTCTCAGAAATAAGCTGAATCAGCTTTTACCAAGGAGACTTTTTTTTTTTTTTTTTTGGAGACAGGGCTCCCTGTAGCCCTGGCTGGCCTGGAACTTACTATGTAGACCAAGCTGGCCTCAATCTCACAGATCTCTACCTGCCTCTGCCTCCCAAGTGATGGGATCAAAGGTTTATAGAGACAACCTTACAAAGACCTTTAAATTTTAACAATTTTTAAAATGTTTTATAGATCTGCATCTTTGAACACAGAGAACATAACTGAATCTTTGAATTTGTTTGGGTGGTTGATTACCACAGTATTATCATCCCCTGAGCTGGAAAGTTCTGGAAGCCTGGGGCTTTCTGCCCAGCAGTAAATAGCCCAGTTGTTAGACTAACCTGCAAATACTTACCCTAGCGGAACACCCCAACACCTGTATTCCCTCCCAACTTATGCTGAGTTTTAAAGGCTTACAAAGCCCCAGTCTGAAAGGGAAGAACATTGTTATACCTCCCAATAGCTCTGCAGGGCAGAGGGCATAAAAAGAGAGCTAAGATCATGATATAAATCCAGGCTCGCCTACAGCTGATGCACATATTACTTATATTTTCTATATGACACATGTAAACCCCACTTTAATAAGTAGCAGTGTCAAGAGCTCTTTGACAATACTTCTCATTGATCAAAATAAGCAAATTAAAACTTTACGGTCAGACTAGCTCAAAATTTTAAAAAATATTTTCTTTATTTTTATTTTATGTGTATAAGTGTTTGCCTGCATGTATGTAAGTGCACCACAAGTGTGCAATGCCAACAGAGGCCAGAAGAGGGTGTTAGATTGCTCCTGAAACTGGAGTTAGGTCAGTTGTTAGCCACCAAGTGGGTACTTAGAATCAAACCCAGGTACTGTGGAAGAACAGTAAGTATTCTTTACTGCTGATCCATCTCTCCAGCCCCAGCTCAAACATTCTTTAAAAAAAAAAAAACACACACACACACACAAAACTCTTTCACTATGCAATTTGGGAGTCTTTTAGATAGACCCACTGAAGGGGTACCCCAATTGCCTCACCCTGTGTCCCTGTTCAGCATGGAAGAAGCTAGAGCAGTCTGTGTCCCGCTTCCCTATCAGCAATTTGGGTAACCTCTTCAGGGGATGGTATGATAAGAATAGGAGGTAGGAATTAATTAGGCAGTTAGGGTAAAAAGACCCCAAAGAAAAGTAGCCAGTTTCTTGACTAAAATCAAAACATCCTTGGGCCATTTAGCAACCAATATACTCTGTTCCAAAGGCCAAAAATGTCAAAAGTATTTGGGAGCTCTTACCTAATCCCTAAAAGATATTAGAGTTACCTCTTCAGAGAGGGGAATGTTAGAGTAGCAAAAAGCCCCATGAAAAACAAAAGAGAAAGTGTACACGAAGTTGTTTAGGAAAAAGTGATGGGGAGATATGGGAGAAGCTGGAGGGGAGGGAGTGGGCATGGATTTGATCAAAACACCTTATATGCATGTATGAAATTCTCAACAAATTTTTAAAAATATTTTATTATTTTTATTTTATGTGTATGTGTGTATTGCCTGCACATAGGTAAGTGCACTTGTGTCGTGCAATGCCCATAGAGGACAGAAGAAGCTGTCAGATCCCCTGGAACTGGAGTTACGGACAGTTGTTAGCTGCCATGTGGGTGCTGGGATTCAAACCCAGGTCTTCTGCAAGAACAGTCAGTGTTCTTAACTGCTGAGCCATCTCTCCAGCCCCCAAATTCTCAATAAATTTTTAAAAAAGTTAAACAAACAAAAACTCTTTCAAAACATGTTTTCATAATAAACTAAAGACTGAGGGGCATAGAAATAACCAGGGTTATTATATCTTTGACTCCCTCGCTTTTTCTCTACTTAAGTGTTGAGGTAGTTGCCGCTAGGACACTGTCTATTCATTTAACAAGATCCAGCTGCTAGGATTTCAAACACTTTTGTCATTTCATTGGCAACTAGAGCTCCATTCCAAAGCACAACAGAACACCAGAAAGCCATGTAGGCTCCAAAAAAATTTTGCCTCAGAGATCTAAGTATATGGTTTAACTCAGAAAAAAACAGTCACATATAGTGGCAAAATGGGTGAAATGAAGGCATCAGCTCATGAAAAACGGAGTTAAACTAGCAACACTGATGACTCATATCCTAAACCATGTTCTCATCACATGTGGATCCTGGTGTTGAATCTCTGGGTTTGTGTGTTTAACTTGGAGTACCTGTAGACTCCAGGGTGAAGAAAAGTCATATGTAGGAGACAATAGAACATGGGTGATATGAAGGGGAAAAGGGGAAAAATGGAGGGGGGGTTACATGGAGAGAGGGATGGGACGGGAGAAGAGGCCAGAGGAAGGAACTGGGGAAGGATAGCTAAACTAACCGTATTTGAAAAAGCCATATGGAAACCAACTATTTTATAACTTCCTTATACATAGATGGATTCATTAAAAAAATAGTTTAATTAGAGTTACCCTTATATTAACATTATAGGGGATAATGTTTCTCCCAGAAGCCATAGGTTGCCAAATAAAAAGCCCAGTGCCAGATGTGGGATACATCTCCTTGAGCTGTTGGTCAGGAGCATCCTGAATATTCCAAAACAATACACACTATTGCCAGTGCTCCTGGTTGCCCACCAGAACTTGATGGTAAGATCCTATTGCTGATGACTCTACACACTTTGGTCATAGGACATGAGAAATCAAGTTGGTACTGACCAGGAAACTTCCTCTCTGCTGCCTAGCTTTCACAATTCTGGAAGGTGCTATGAAATACTATGTAGGCTGCTGGGGCAAAATAGTCATCAACAGTCTTGCCCAACAGTGAACCCTGATAGTTATAATAATGACTGGTATGGGTCATTATTATATACCATATGCCTATGGGGGCAATAGTGGCATGAATATTATGGGGGTTACCAATCACTGTTTGAATGGATTTAGGGCCTACTTCTCTGGAGGAGACATGCATTATACTGTAAATCTGGCCAAAAGCCCATGGTTGGGGAGTTTGTGGGTTTCAGGGGTAAACTTACTATTATTATTTTACTAAATGGACATAGTATCAAACTGACCTCTAAATCAGTATCTCTATACATTACACATAGATTAGTGTAGTTATATCATCAAAGATGTTTCTTTATGTAGTGGACAGTGGTTAATGCAGAAACTCACAATTGGTCAAAGTGCAGAGAGTAAGTGTCTGTAGAGTGCTCAGACACAAATGGGACATCTGTATCATATCTCCTCCCCCTCAAGGCTCAGGCATCATGGTCAAAGAGAGGGAGGAAATATTGTGAGAGCCAGAGGTTAGGGAGGACTGGGGTGAAGCAGTGTCTTCTTAACATGACAGGACCACTGTACTCATGAACTCTTATCAGCTGTGGTTACTATATAAGACCTGCACAAGATCAAGTCAGTCAACATTTTAGCATGGAGGAGAAAGGCTCAGGAGTCTCTTACTCCTAGCTGAGGAGCTACTGACAGATGATGGTTTCTGGGGGAGGGAGAGTCAGTTTTGTTTAAAGGTATGACCCCTGGTAGGTTGGCCATGATCCAGTCTACAGCCCCAAAGCAATGCATATATGGTCAGCACAAATTGGTCTTGGTGGGTTACGGGAAAAAAAAAGAAATGAAGTTGGGAGAGGGTGGGAAGGTAGAGAGCAGATCTGGAGGAGTAAATATGATCAAAATATATTGTATACATGTATGACATTCTCAAAGAATTAATAAAACTGTATTTACTTTAAAATCAAGAGAAATAAATAAAACTTTATCATAAAAAAAACCCACTATGATTTATGAAATGTATGGGCTATGCTGGGGGTGGATGGTAAAAATCTCAACCTAGGAACGTGTAGGCCATCAACTTGGGAAGTCAGAAGTATCACAGAGCATGGGAAAAATTACTATAGGAACCAGTTAGAAGCAGCCAAGGCTCTGGGGGCTGCTGGTGGTGGCGTGAGATGGTTTAACACCTCCAGAAAACTAGCCTGACACTTTCATAGTAATTCAGACATATATTTAGGTATATTATCTAGCAATTAAAATCTCAGATTTTACCTGAAGTTAATGGAAATACATGTCCACAGAAGACAAGAATGTTTAATCCATAACAGGCAAAAATGTGTGCACCTCAAATGTCCACCCACAGGGAGATCGGAGAACAAATTGTGGTAAATTCAATGGACTACCAGTCAGCAAAAATAATAAAGAATGAACTGTTGAAACACATAAAACATGGATAAATATCAAAATCATCATGCTAAGTGGGGGAAAAACTCATATGATTCCAATTATACTGAATTATAAAACAGGCAAAACTAATCTACAGAGATAGAAATCAAAACAATGGTTGCCTTAGAGAGGTGGTGATGGGGGTAGGGAGTGACTAGGAAGAGCCTAAGAGAATTTCCTGTGGCGAGGGTTATATGAGTGTGTTCATCTGTTGAAACTTATCAAAGAGTATACTAAAGATCTGTTTGTTTCATGTGCAAATTTAGGCCAATTTTTAAAAAGAAAAGAAATTTACAGCAAGAGAAAAATTCCAAGACATGCAACCTGCTTTAATATAAGGGGAATTCATATCACAGGCTGCAGAAAACACTTTGCTTCGCAATACTCAATGACAACAAATACTGGATTCTGTGTATGTGGCTGATAATCAGCTTCAAAATAACCATTCAGCAACTGTCATATGGATACTTTGTTATTTAAAACTGTTTGAGCTGTTCAACCAATCTCCTGCCAAAGACTTTTCAACTAGATCTGCATCCATTTTAAGAATCCATGCACATCTTTGTCTAAAACAGTATAGATGTACAAAGACTTTTCTAAAGCTTGAAGTCTTCAGGAAAAGAAAAAAAAAAAAGTATCCGAACTTCTCTAATCCAAATCCTTGATCTGCAACAAGGCTACATGGCTATTGAGAGAAACAGCCTCCCAGTGCTCTTCCCAGTGAGTTCAAAGTGTAAAGTGCTGCAAAGAAACTGGACCACCAGCAGCTCTGAACCCACTTTTAGGAAAAAAACCAGATCCTTGAAGCCCTTAAGAGTTAACCAGTCCCAAGATGGATAATAGGCCATACCCATCTATCCACCCACCACGCATCCATCCATCCATCAGTTAACCAGTCCCAAGATGGATAATAGGCCATACCCATCTATCCACCCACCCACGCATCCGTCCATCCATCCATCCACCCATCCATCCACCACCACCACTCTCCTAAGCCAGGGCATGTAGTAAAATAGTATCAATATTAACATTAAAACATTAAAACAGCTGGGTGTGGTGGTGTACACCTGTAGTCCCAGCACTTGGGAGGTAGAGGCAGGTGGATCTCTGTGAGTTCAAGGCCAAGCCTGGCTACAGGGAGACCCTGTTTCAAAAAGACCAAAAAAAAACCCCCAGTAAAACACTGCTGAACAAAACCCATATTCAACCTATAAACATAGTTTTGGGTCCCAAAGGAATTGCAGTTCCCATCCACCTATCTGATTACGCATGCATATCTATGTGAACCCACAGGTGTGTATAGATGTATGCTTATCTATATTCCTATATCTTTACAGCTGTTTGTTCACGCACTGCTTTGTTTATGAGGCAAGGCTGGGCATGAAACATTTCAGGAGATGCAGAGGGTGTGCAAACATGCTTCTGAGAATAGCTCAGATGTTTATTTAAATTAACTAGGCTGCCAGACAGTTGGGACTCAGAGAAGAACCCACACATTTTTTTTTAAAGTGATAAAGTGTCAATATTTTTAAATTGAGTGGCTTCATATAAAGTCCTAATGCCAACATTTCTTTTCTTTTTTTTTAATGCCAACATTTCTTAAACATGCAAGATTTAGAAACACTGAGTCCCTGTATCCTGAGTGGCAGCAACTGTCTGGAGCACAGAAGCTACTGTCCCTTGACAGAGGAAACATTCTCCAGTTTGCCCCAGCTCCATCCATAAACTTGAGACTGAGGTACCCCCAAAGACCGTTAATCCCCAAGTTTTCTGGATACATTTTTACCTCTGATCTTGAACTCAGTAGGTATCTCATTCATTTGTATTTCCATACCTGCATCTGAGTGCTAAGCCCTTGTTTCTTTCATATATCTTGCTGCTGGGCTGTCTCTTCATGACAATGTCATGTATTGCTCTGGTTTTCTGGAGAGGGAGTTTCCTTCCCTCTCCAGTCCTGTTCCATTTTTGGAATGAGCCTCCAGAGACTCTCGCCTGTAACTTTTCCCTTTCCTGACCTGTCATCAGCTGAGCTGGCTTCTTTTTAACATCATTCAAAACAGGCCAACCAATCACACTTCAGAAGGACCCCCAAGCTACCCAGTGGTGGGAGAGGCTGTTCTTAGACCAACAAGAAAACCACCAGCCATAGATAAACTCATTAACATGTTAGAAAAACAAAGATAAAAACCCAAGAGAACATACTGCAACAAGACTTAGGAAAACATTTGCAGAAAGGAGGCTGTGCTGAGTGGCAGCCTAACAGGCACCTTTGATCCTTACCTGAACTTCCTCAGTGTGAGTAGAGTCATTTGCCAGCAGGGGCTCTCCAGTGGGAGCTTGGATGGTGACAGACTTTTCTGACCCTCTGCCATCTTTATTCCGGGGTGATTTGTGTCTGTCTCTCGTTCTTTCCCTGGGAAGAGGGGGGCAACAAAAAACTCCCGGTAGTCAGGTATCAAATTTATGCATGTTCATTACTGTCTAGTTCAGCAAAATATAAGTTTTATTTTGAATTTTGGATAATTCTATGCCTATCCAATACACACAGACATAAACACACACACAGCATCAACAGTCACCCACTCCCATAGCTGCAAGTACTCTGATCTTTAACTGTCTCCTTAGTATTTTCTTTCTACCATTCCAAGACTCAAAACAGACTGTCACTCTTCTATCAACTGTGATCACGTTTTTTCAGTGCCTAAGTTTAGAGTTTCTGCAGCTAAGGCACATTTTACTTTAACAATTACTCAGTTATTTGGTGATAGTTTGCCTAAATTAATTTCTTGGGAATTTTTCTTTTCACTTGAAGAACATTGCATTGTATCATAGCTTTGATCCAGCCCCCCCTCTAAAAAAACAACAACAACAACAAAAACAAAAAACAAAAAAAACACCACAAAACCCAAACTGAACCAAAACAAAACAAAAAAACTGAGACACAATGTCACTCTACACTTTTGGACAAGAAGAGAAGGAAAGGAAACTCAAACCAGGACTGAGAATCACTTACTTTTACTTTTCATTCTTACAAATTCAACATAAAAAGATAAAAATGTCATTCCCCTAGTTTTATGTAAACTCAAAAGCATATATAGAAACAAAGAAGGCAAGGACAAATGACCCCAAGGGGTGCGTGTTTTCAGACCTCCTTAGGAAAGCAGGCTGTTGTATACTTTGACTCTACATGTGCTTTCTGGGTGGTCTTCTAGAGACAGTCAGAGGACACCCTGCTGTAGTCCTGAAATTTCAAAAGGAATCAGGCACTGTGGCCAAGCTCAGAGGTCACAAGCTGGTCAACAAGCACCCATGGAAAGTGACACCAGGACAGCCCTGCAGTGGCCAAAGTCAGTGTGTTCCCTTGGCTTCCTGTCCCCATGAGCCATTTGACATCAGTCTTCCCTGTAACCACCTGCTCTCATTCTCAAGGTTTCCACATTTTGTATGCAGAGTTTGCAGACAATAGATCTCCAACTGCCCTGTTAGATGCGTGACTTTGTACAGGTTACTCAATCTCTGGAACCTCAGTCTTCCCTGTGTGGGAAATGGGGGCATGATCCTGCCACACTAACAAGGGAAAATGTACATGCTCAGTATAGGGGTGTGGAATGCGTGCTCAATGCACAGGAGCCATTGCTACTGCTGCAACTACTTCCTAGCAGTGAAGATGGGTGTCTGATCTTGTGAAGCACAGCATCTTATCTTGGAGAAAGAGGCATAAAAAGACTCATGAGCATGCCATCAGACCCTCTTCACCACACATGTATTTCCTACTAACCTACCACTTAGCAACAATAACAACAACAAAAAAACTCAAACAAAAACTACCACATGGCAGATTTATTTTTTTGGTCAAACTTCTAACTTAGCAACATCCCCCCAGGATGAGCAGTAGAGAATTCTTTCTAGGAGCAAGGGGTAGACAGCTTTTCAGTGACAGTAATTGCATCCCTAGCACATACTAGACATAGATGTGTTTTGGTTAGCTCCATGTTTTGTTTTAACCAGGCAACCAGGGAAACAGTTGATTAAGCAGAGAATCTGGCTGTTCACCCAGAGCTGTATCTAGCGACGCCAATCCTCCATTTCTCATCCCATTTAAACAGCACTTTGCTGAGTGTTTGTCTCTATTAGTTTCATTCAATCCTAAAAAGTGACTCTGAGGCCAGTATTACTGTCCCATTCACAGATGAGGAGGAACTAAGGTTCCCAGTAAGTGCCTCCCAAAAGTTGTATTAAGTAACTGAGTAGGAACCAAAGCCAAATCTGTTGCCACCACTTCTATTCAAAGCCATCATGTTATACTGTTTCGAACAATAATTGGGAGATTTAAAAAAAACTAGCACACATAATTATATAAAATGGGTTTTAATTATATAAAATGTGACATTTCTCATACACGTATAGGATGTACTTTGGTCATAGTCACCCCTATTGCCTTTTTTCCCCTCCTCCCTCCTCTTCCTAAATATTCCCAATTTGGAGATTTTATAGTGTACATATTCCCAGCACTCATCCTCACACCCCTATAAGGTCACACTGCTAGCGTTATGAAATACACCTTTGAAGCTAACACTGGAAGTCATGATTGAATAGCCAACGCTGTGGGCTGTCCAACACCATCAGTTCAAGAGCACACTCCTCCCTGTGAGGAACAGTAGGCAGTGTGGGAGATTCCCCTCCTTCCTCCCTGTGAGAAACAATAGGCAGTGTGGGAGATCCCCCTCCTTCCAGCTTGATTAGTTGTCAGAATGACAGGCCGGGTCCAGAACTGCTACTCCACCAGGTCCCACATGCAGCCTGCTAGATGGTCCCTGAACAATACCATTCCCTTCCTCTTGGCCATCAGCCAAGTCACAGGCTTAGCTAACCTGGTTCTCTATTCACAAGAGTCACAGGTCAAATCCCATGATAGCAAAGATTCCACTGGAAATCCAAAATCTTTCACTGCCTGCCAGTTTCCAGGGCGGAAAGTAGGTGGGACGCACTCAGACTGAAAGAACCACAGCTCATTACCCCCAGCTTACCCAGTCAGGCTCTTAAAGGACTCAAGAGCACTCAGATGGGAATGACCAGTCTCACAACTTTGTCTCACAACTCCCCTGATAAGAACTTTTTATCTGATAACCTAAGGAAGACACTATCTTTCAGTACCTGAAACTGCACCAGTGCTCCTCAACCCCTATGTGCAGACAAACCAAGGCTGGCTGGTCCCTACCCCCAAAGAATTTGTCTGGAAGGGAGGCAACAGGAAGCTACATTTCCCACCAGTACCCCAGGTGATCAGGATGCAGGCAGTATAGGAAATGTTACCCAAGACTCTGTCACCCAGCTGTTCTTGGGGAGGTCCTTGGAATACCTGCTTAGAAGTCTGCCTATGTATGAAATGCCTTGAGAATGGGGCTCAATCATGGGTGCCATAGTGTGTTCAGTTGTGTAATGTTACAATGCACAGTGCTTCTTTATCAAAATAGTGGGGCTGAAGAGATGGTTCTGTGGTTAAGAGTAGTTGCTGCTTTCCCAAAGGACCCAAATTCGGTTCCCAGATCCCACATGGGAAAGCTCATAAACACCAGTAACTCCAGCTCCAGGGAATCTGATGCCCTCTTCTAGCCTTCATGGACACCTGTATACAGTCACACAGACACACACATGAATAAAAATAAAAATAAATGTTGTTTTAAAATTATCTCATGGATGAAGGATAGCTTGCAGCCTAACTGGGGCTGCCAGGGGAACGAGGGGAAACAGAGAGCAGTCCTGTCATCTCAGCACCAGCCCTGCACGGGGTGAGCTGCTCCTTCTACCGGTCTCACTATAGAAGGGAGTAAGACACACCACACAGCATTTACAGAAATCATCGCTCATGACTGCTTCGGGCAGGTCTCCAAGGCAAGCCAGGATTTACCGGTGGTGTCCAAGAAAAACACTATTGCCTATCCAGTGCTTTCTAGTTTGCAGAATTACAAGCTCCCAAGAGGCCATTTCACTACAGAATGTACTCATACACTCAAGTCTGTAGCTCCAGATGCAGTAACATAGGGCTAGGGATGTAGTTCAGTTGGTAGAGTACCTGCCTAGCATCACCGAGCTCTGGGTTCAATCCTTAGCACCACATAAACCAGGCACAGTAGCGCACACCTGTGATCCTTGGCTATATAGCAAGTTGAGGCCAGCTTGGGACACGTAAGACCCTGTTCCAAAAACAAACAGATGCTGAAACTCTTAGAAACATCTGTGGCTGCCAAGTATCCTGTGGGAGAAGGTTCCTCAACAACGCAGATATGTCTAAGAATTTCTAAGAGACCGGGGGAATGAACAGTCCACTAAACCAATGAGCAGGGTATTAGAACACATGCACTCATGTTTTTGGAACTCTGCCCAAGTGATCAGGATCACCTGAAGGCTCTTGCTGGGCAGCCATGTTATCCATTAGAATCTGTATCTTTATCTCTGAATCTGTCTTCCTGTTTCATCAGCCCATATGAGTGAACGAACATAAGTCTGTTTGTGTAAAGCTAAGTCTATTGTGCACATCTGTGTACATGTGCTTGAGAGGGTGGCAAGGGCAAGTGGCAGCTTGCAGGAGGCACCTATGTGCGCAGGCAAATGCATCATTATTTAGGCAGTTTGGGAGCTGAGCCCTGGAGAGCTGCTGTAACACCCTCACTCCAGCCAGAACTCCAGAGATTCTCATACTGTTCCCATTTACAGTCAGCATTTCCTGCGAAGACTATTTCTTCCTGTTCTGTTGTTTGTCTATTTCTATGTGGGGAAAGCCGTCCCACCGGTTACTCCTCCCTTTCCTCTGCTACCACCCACTACCTGTCCTCTCTGTGGACTGCTAGGCCTTGTTGGCTGCTTCCTCTCAGCCCTGGTGGGTGGAGAACAAACTGGCTCTGAAGTGGCCTCTGAATCCTCCACTGCCAGGGCAACCCTTTGGAACAATGCATTTTAATACATTAGTCACACCGGTAACCCTTCATTTTCCTTTCAAAGGTGGCATTTCCCACCCTAAGGACCAACAAGCCTGAAGCTTGCTGAGGGGTCCTACTACCCTGGCAGCTTCAGGCAGCCATGTTGTTCCCTGTGCCTCAGTTTCAGTTTCACACCTGCAAAATGGGGCCGCCCACCCCCACTATTCGGGGACTGCTGTGAACATGGGAGACAGTGAGAGTGAGAGGCCTGGCAGGTATTCCCAAAGAGGTGCTTAATGCTACCAGCAGCTGCTGTCATCAGGAACCCATCATCAGGCTAGCCGAGGTCGGCTGAAGTCTACACCACTTTCCCAACAAGCTAACTGGACACTCTCTGGGGACGATAGGCATCACAAAACCAGATCAGTGACCTCTCTGTCAGAAAAGAGACGCTATTGTCTGTTTGGATGCTGGCCAGTCCTCCAAGACAATCAGTGTCATCAGGCACTTCGTTATTCATCTCTGAGTTGGAGTAGTGCTAAAATTACCAAAACACCAGGTCCCTGCCCTTTCCTACTCTTCCACCTAAACTCCTCATGAATCAAGCACAGCAGCTTTCCCAGCACCACACTCCTGAGACGAGAAGGCCTGATCTCTTCCCTCCAAAGGCTTCCGTCACTGCTGAGCATTCTTTTTGCCTTGGCAGGGCGTTCCGGCACAACTACTGTGTGTGGATTACAACCTTCACCCCACAGTTCCTATGTCTTCCTGGTTGTCCCTCAGACAATTCAGCACAAGAGGAGTGGGGTGTTCAAAAAACCATCAACTGTACCTACACATCCCTAGGCTCATCCTCCTCACTCAGCCTCTCCCAGAATGGGCATTCGGCAGTATTCTCTAATCAACTGAGGGAAAGCCTCAGTCTCTCAGCCCTCCTCAGAACAGGCATTCTACAACATTCCTGATCAATTGATGAAAGGCCTCAGCTCCAATTCACATTTGCCAAGTACTTTCCACCAGGGATCAAGAAAGCACTAAAAGTTTTGTATATCATCTTAATTGAAAGCTATAGTCTCTTCAAGTTCCCATAACAGCTCTGGAGAATCCATTTCTGAGTCCCCAGGAGGCCCGAGGAAGCAGCAGCAAGCAGAAATGGGCCCTGAAGTGTGGAATTCGGGATACAAGAACAGACAAAACCTATAAGCTGTCTCCATTCAGAATTCTGCAAGCCATCCTCTCCTGCTCACCCCCAAATGCCACAGGAACCCCAAATTCCTACTTCTGTCATTGTCTATGGAGGAGGAAGTCTGGCACCTTGACAAGGGAACTGCTTTTTCCAGTTAGGTCCCAAAAGCTGATATTTGAAAACAGCTGTTTCGGGTACTTTATAACAAATCTGCTAAGTTAAACCACTGGTAGAAATCTGTGAGTATTTGTAAAACCAGGAGAAGTTCTGACTTTCTCAGGATCTGGGCTGTAGAGTGTCACTGCATGCTCTGTACCCAGCTCCTGTAGCACCCATACCCAGTACCTTCCACCTCCACTGAAAGGCTGACCTGGGCCGCAGCGCAGGGCACCACCTTTCTGTGACTGTGAGAGCAATATGTGAACATTTAGAAAATAACGGACAATTTTAAAAAGTATGACCTGGAATCTTATACTCAAGACGGGTACAGTTCAATATGTTTAATACCCATCTTATCACATATGTTTAACTATTATATTATCCAGTTTTCTAATACCATTTTATAAATACTGTGTTCTCATGAATGTTAATTTTTTGAATCTTTCCTTTATACTTTTATCCCATTCATATTTTGTCTTTCTTTTTTGAGACAGGGTCTCACTACATAGTCCTGGCTGGCATTGAACTCACAGAGATCTGCCTGCCTCTGCCTCCTGAGCACTGGTATTAAAGGCATACCCCATCATGGCCAGCCCAGCATCCATTCACTTTTTTAAAAATTACAAACTACACATTTGTACAAGCAAATATAGTATAAATGAAAATTCCCATTAGTTACCACTGCCAAGATCCCCTTCCCTGAGGATGGCCCCTCCTGGGAGCTTGGAAAGCACACTTCTGGACCTCTTCAAAGTGTGTACAGCCATAGAGGCCCTATGAAACACATACATCTTATTGCAGTTTTACAAAACAAAATCTCACTCTGCATGCAGCTGCTTGTCTGGGGACCTGCTCAGTGGGAGCAGCAAACACCAGGACAGTCACCATGTCTGTGCAGCACACAGCTGTGGCCACAGGTGGGCCTTGGAGCTGGGGGCAGGTATTAGCTTTGAACTCAGGTGCTGAAATACCAAGACTGTTAATAGCATTAACAGTCACTAGTGAGAGACCTCCTACTATGTGCTGCATAAAATGCTTTGCATCTATCACCTCACTGAGTCCTCACCAGCCCAGGAAGGAGGAGATCCCTGTACCCGCTTCACAGAGGAAGAAACTAAGTGGCAGCATTACAATTGCACCAGCTGTACCCCATTCAGTCAGTACCACCTAATAACCATTTATCTGTTCGTTCATTCATTCATTCCTTCCTCTATTCAGCAAGCATTCTGCAGGTCAGAATGTACCAGTGCAAGGCCTAATCAATCTACAGAGGAGGGGGAATTTGGCCCTATCACCCAGGACAGTGCTTTCAAACCCTAGCCTTGCTCATTTGGAAGACTAGTCAAAAGAGAAATCAGGCGCCAGGCCAGACAGAGTACACCCAGCATACCAGCATACCGGTGTGGTGGTGTGCTTGAGAGCCTCAGGGCAGATGCTTAATGGATGATGAGTCAGCAGCTTAGGGTGAAACAACAAATTACCACTTTTTTTTTTTATCTTTCATTTATAGTATTGGTAAAGCTTTGGGAGAACTGACATCTATGAGAAGTACTTAGAAATGAAAAACATTTCCACTGCAAGGGAAACTTTAATTTAAAACCAATTGTGAGAAATTAAGGTCATCAACTCTAATGGTGGCTCTAAAATGTAAATTGGCAGTGTAGTTACTCCCAGAGCATGTCAGGCTCTCTTACAGCTTGGTTTCTCACGCACCAGTGGACTGACCGCCCAGCATCCCCAGCCCTGAAGGCGGGCTGTTGAAAGACTGGTTCTGTAATAGAAAGCCCTACCAACCTGCAGGCTTCCCACATGGAAAAATGGACTAAATGATGGATGGTTTACATACCCTTGTCTGTGAGACTTTTTTGAATGGCTTGAGTAGTAAGAGTATCCAGAATATGTGGATTCGGTATCCATAGCAATAGAGAACTTCTGATGAGGGGGCAGGCACTTTTTCTCCTTCCACGCCGAGTCGCACCTAGAGCTCTCAAAGCCTTGTGGGAATCAGAGGAGCTACCTTTCAACAGGAACAAAGTCTAGAAAAGGAGAAAAGAGAGAGATTAATCTTCAAAGCCATTTTTTAAAGGGTTGAAGATATACCAACAACAGCCACCTCCCCTCTAGAGTCTCTATTATGGAATAAGAGTTAAGAGTAAAGTGTGAACCGCTAAATGCTCCACTCACCCAGGGACAAGCTTCGAGAGTGTCCGAGAGACCAAATGGATGCTGAGATGGTAGAGACCTGGGTACAGGGTGTTTTAGTTCCTGAACACACTCTCCTCCTTCTGTAGGAACTGCTGCTCCTCACACCAACCTCCAGACAAGTGCCCAGCCCCCACTGTCAGTTTACAGGTTGTAAAGACAATGCCAGGGAAGTAGATTTTCAGTGATTTGGCCATCATTTCCAAAAGTTAATTTAAAAAAAAAATCTCTCAGTCTCTTTAACAATGGTCAATTTGGGGCTGGAGAGATGGTTCAGCAGTTAAGAGCATTGGCTGCTCTCACCAAAGACCAGGGTATGGTTCCCAGCACCCACATAGTAGCTCACAACCATTCATAACTCCAGTTTCAGGGGATCCAACATCCTTTCCTGGCATCTCTGGGCACCAGGCACATATGTGGTATACATCTATACATACATCCAGGCACACACTCCTATACATGATATAAAATAAGTCTTAAAAAAAAGAATCCTCAACTCCTAGAAATTTATCTTAGATAACAAAAACAAAACATGTTTACTTCACTGTCTATAGTAATAAAAAGCTAGAAACAACGTTAATGCTTCCACCCCACAAACCAAGGAATAGGTAGGGAAAATATGGTTTATCAGCCAAAGAAATATCACATATCCATATAAAATGACAATTACAAAGATTTTGTAGATTTTTGTGATAGAATAATAAATTTTAAAAGCAGGATACAGGATTACAGGTACCCACTGAATCAACACTATGATTACAATCAAATAATTTGTGCAAGGGCAGGGATCAAAAGGGGACACCACAAAAAGCAAAGCAGTTGATTTATTAGTTGCAGGTCCTGGGTCCTTTCCCACTTTCCTCAAATACTGCTTTGCAATAAAAAGAAATTGGAAACATTTCCAAGTACATTCCTGAGCTCCCACATGCTCAACCTTTACTCCTAAAGTTCTGTCTTTCCCTGCACCCCTCTCCAGCACCATCTGCCCAACAGGATTCCACCTTCCCATCCCCAGAAGCTGAAACTGCAAACAGAGCCCAGGAGATAAGTGTGAAGGAAACAATGGAGCTGCAAAGGCCCTTCCCCAGCCCCAACTGGGAGGAGGTCCTGGCTCCCAGACCCCAGCAACAGCTAGGTCTGGAGAGAAACTGGGAGCATTAACTGGGACTGGAAATCATATCTATGCCAATCAGCACAGCCAGGAATCTTCAATACTGGGGGGGGGGGGGGGGGGCCATTTT